TTCCCACCAGTTCTCCAAAATGCCCTAATCCCCAATCCTTTTCAAAAAATATCTGCACGATTTGGGGGTAATTTTTTTGTCCCCATATCACACACAATGCCCTAAAATGCATATCACACACAATGCCACCCACCTCATAAGCCCTCCTGAACTAGCCCAAAATACCTATCTTCTCCTCTGTAGTTCTTCTCAAAATGGCAACTGTTTGTATTCTGCACTGCCATTTTGAGATGAACCACAGAGACAAACGGAGGTATTTGTTTTTGCTGTAGGACAGGGACAGGCAAAATATGAATCCCAGAGCAAGTTCTGTCACCCCCAAAACCTATGCCAATACATTTTCACATCATTTTGTCCCCTCTCTACCCAATGTATGCTCCGAAGTTACCTTTTTTGAAACAAGAAATAATCAAGAAGTGACTTCAACTCACTATCTTTTGTTACAAAAGGCCTATCCTGGGTCTACAATGGCCCAGGAAGGTCCCAAACCATGGTGAGAATGTCCTCATGTCTCTCACAGTGCTTTAGGGGACAGTTTTTGTGGGAGCAGAATCAGTGAGGGGTACAGCCATCCAAAGTTTTCTGGGTGCCTACTGTGCTAATTTTCCATAGTTGTTCATCCTTGCTGTAGGGAAATGGGGCTGGAGGAAAATGGGACCCTGGTCCACATAAATTTGTCCAACTCTGTGCTATCATGTTTTTCTTATCCATCTTTTTTCAAAGTCACATTTCAGTCATTCACCCATGATCAGGGCATACTTTGCTTCTGGAATGGGATTTTCTTTTCATGTGCCTCCAGCCTCTGCTGATACGGGGAAAGTGTTGAAAGCCCCATGGATTTCTTCCCTATGTCTACCTAGAGAAACCATTCCTCCATGGAGTCTGATCATGTATTCATCAAGTGCAAACCAAAATAGTATAGGAGAATTCATTGATGTGGCGGCTTGCAGCTGAACATGAGAGCTGACCACCCATTGGATTGCCCTTGGAAGGAAAGCCATGTTAGATTGAGGTTACCTAGTGACATTACTGAGCATTGAGCTTCAAGAGTTTGGGAAAGCAACTTCTTTTGGTAGAAAATTCCCAGAATCCTTGAAACACCAAAACCACTGGCCAAAGTTTCTGGGAGCTGTCGATCCAAATAGTAACTTTTCTAAGTTCTCAGTTTGACCAGTCCCACTTTTTCTTAGGCTCATTCCTCCACAGTTTTCAGTCACTTTATACAACTTCTGTACACATTAAAGGTTTATGCTCAGAATCACCTTGGCATCGTATACCTATTTAAGAAACAGTTAGCCATTTTGCTCAGATTTCAAGGTTGCAGAAGCAAAATTGCAATGCTATTGTGCATTCGGACTGCATCCCATTGCATGTTTGGTTGCACAATGTCGCCATTTCATATAAAGGTTGTGGAACACAATTAAGAGCCAGTGTTGTTGTGTACCACTAGTATAGTGTAGTGGTTCAAGTGCTGAGGATTAGAACTTCAGGAGTCTAGGGTTCAAATCCCTACCAACCATGGAAACCCATTGGATGATACTCACTCAGCCTCAGATAAAGTCTCCTCTGAATAAATCTTGCAAGAAAACCCCATGAAAGGATAGCCATATTGGAGCCAATGTGGTGTTGTGGTTTGAGTGTTGAGCTTTTGGAGGCAAGGGTTACAATTCTGGCTCAACCATGGAAACCTTCTTAGTGACCTTGGGCAAGTCACAATCTCTCAGCCTCAGATGAAGGAAGTGGTATCTCTTTGATGAGCTAAGAGGATATAGTGGTTTGAGTGTTGGTCTAGGGCTCCAGGAGGCCAGGAAGCAAATTTTCACTTAGCTGTTGGGTGATACTGAGGAAGTCAGATTCATTCTTTTAGCTTTGGAGGAAGGCAATGGTGATTCCCCACTGAACAAATCTCTGATCAAACCTTGCTAAGAAAACCTTTTAATAGATTTGCCTTGAGGTTGTCATAAGTCAGAAACAGCTTGAAGACATACACAGCAGCAGCAACAAACCACCACAACATGACTAATGTGCAATTCTGCATAACCCTGATGTAGGGTCTCAGTTAATACATGCAAAGTGCTATAAACACTTCAAAAACAACAACAACAAAACCAAACCAAAAACCAGTTTCTCTTTCCCACTGTCGGTGTTTGCCTGTGTTTATATTTGCATATTGTGAAATCATCACCCCCACCACCATTTTCTTCATCAGTAAAATTATTCTCCGCATTCCTGAGGGAAATTCACCATCTCAGGTAAGCTGATTTTATTATCTGTGCAATAAAGTCCTTTAGCTACCTACCCTAGCTGTGTTCTGGGCTATTTTCATTATAACACCATCTTCCCCTACACACACTCTTCCATGGTGTTGTTTCCCCCCTCCTTTCCTGAAGCCTTCCCTTTGTGTTGCATTTTCACAGTGTGCAAAAGGCCAATAAAGAATTTAACAGGAGGTAGCTCAGCACAGCAGCAAGATGGCTTAAATAAATGTGTTTCTAGTCTACCAGCGCTGGGCTGGCTGGTTCGCTGAGCAGGGACGAGAGTATGTACCTAGCAGAAGATAAATTCCAATTTATGGTGACACAGAGTATTACTGTGCAAACGGCAAGCATCTGTCTTCTGCAGCCTCACACATGGATGTGCATCTCGGCAGGCCTTGTCTTCCTTGCAAAAATGGTTAATCAGAAGTGAAATAGGAAAGGAGGGAATTTAGATTACCTTAGACAGGATCCTATTGGTGTTCTTGGCATGCATGGCTTGAGTGTTGGACTATGACACTGGAGACCAGGGTTCAATGGCCTGCCTGGCCATGAAACCCATTGGGTGACCTTGGGCAAGTCACATGCTCTCAGCTTCAGGGGAAGATAATGGCAAACCTCCTCTGAACAAATCTTGTCAAGAAAGCCCTATGATAGGTTCACCTTAGGGTAGCCATAAGTTGGAAACAACTTGAAGGCAAACAACAACAAATATCACCCTATAGGAGTGGCTGACATTTTTGTCCTTTTATCAAACAGGCACATTAATTTCAAGATGGCAGAAATGATACTGCATATATATTGACACTATTCATGCAGAGGGAATGCCATGCAATGTGGAGGTGGTGAGCATCCATGCACATGCAATGCACATGCACACTGGGGTGTTCATTCTGATGCATGATGTTACTATTCATCATAAGGGTTATCTTACCAATCCATTTGTAATTCCACTTGCTCAGATTTACACTACTCAACCCTAGATTAAAATATTGGGCCCTATGATTGGGGAAGGGAGAGTTCTTTGAGTAAGTCATCTTATAGGTAAAAGTTGATTCAATGGGTCTATTCTGTTTCAGACCAGCAATAGAATTTAAGTCAATGTCTCACTGAACATCTTTGAAGATCAAATCTCTATATTTTCTGGGGACTTATCTACATGGACAAATTATGCCAAATTCCCCCCTCCCTAGATTCACTGCATTCTGCAGGGCCAAAACCATTAACTGGACTGCGTTTGTGTCACCCACAACTGATTCAGGGCTTCCTGCCCCCTAACCTGCATTTAAAGAATGCATCTTTTGTTGTAGGTTTTCTGTTCTCTTTGCAGCAATGATGGCAGCTGTCTTAACCCACAGTACCTCTGTTGCTGGTTCAAGTTGCCCTGAGGTCAGAATGAGATACTCAGAATCATTAACATGGGATTTTGACCATGTTTGGAGTTATGCTGCCCCGTCCCAAGTAAAAACAATTCTTTTGCACTTTTTGTATTTGTTGCCCCTAAATTCCCTTTCCATCAAGTTTTGCCTTCTCCTGGCCAACTTCCAGTTGTTAAAAGTGCCTCTCCCAAGACAAAAATGATCAAGCAAAGCTCAAAATACTCCCACAACCCCTGGAACAGTAGTTGCCAAACTTTGGTCCTCCAGACTTCATCTCCCAGAATTCCTGACTTCTGGCCAAGCTGGCTGATGCTTCTAGGCGTTAGAAATCCAAAACACCTGGAAGACCAAGTTTGGGAATCACAACCCTAGAGGATGATGGGGGGGGGGGCATTTTGGAGCAAGAATATTTTTTGGGGGGGAATGGGTGCAGCCGTCCAAAGTGGACTTATGTTCCCCTAACTTTCCACAGTTGCCTATCCTTCTCTAGATCTAAGGTGAGAAATGCCTTTCACCCCAAAAGCTGTATTCAACCTTTTCAGGGGGTCACTTTCCAGGGATGGGTGAGGCTAAAGGCTCTTATTGCTGTTAAATATACCATAAGAGGAGCATTTCTACCTTTTAGAAAAGAGGGGAGGTTGGGAAACCAACAAACATTGGGGAAAAGATCATAGGCACCTGAGAGGAAGCCAAATTTAGACTCCAAAATTATTGCATTCAGATCCAAAGCCTGAGGTTTCCCACTTTTGCTCTGGAGACATACGCTTCATCCTTATCTTCTCCAGCAAGCTGATAAAGTTCAGTCTCACCTGTACTGAAATGAACTGCCAGGGATTCCACAGGAGATGGTTTAAAAATAGCAATATAGCCCACAAACCCCTTTCCCATTGGAAAAGAAACAGCTACGTTGTGGAAGTTGTCCTGCACCAAACATGAGGGTTGGTGCATGTAGCAAAACCAAGTGCAATGCCAAGGGACTTGCTGAGTTGGTGGAACAGCCTTATTAGCATATTAGCAATTAGGATAGTGTGTGTGTATGAGAGAGGAATTTGGTTCCTGGCGAGGATCTGCCACATGGCATTCAACTGTGCTAAAGTGAACAGTTCCGCAACAGTGTGACAACCTGGATTGTACAAGATGTAATTTCCGCACTCCGTGGCTCTTTTTAGTTACACACCACGGGGAGAAGAGAAGAGTACAGCTGTCATTCTTCAATGCAATTTGATCTGATTCCTTTTTGGGGGGAAAACAGTGATGCTTTTAGAGGAGTGTGATTTTGGCAAGAGTAGTTTTGGTGACTTACACTTGTGCAATGTTATCTTTTGTAAGGCATTTTTTAAAGGAATGCTCCACACCAAGGGGGAGAGCCAGTGTGGTGTAGTGGTTTGAGCATTGGACTATGACTCTGGAGACCATGGTTCAATTCCCAGCTAAGGCATAAAACCCACTTGGTGACCTTGGGAAAGTGACATGCTCTCAGCCTCAGGAGAAGACAATGGAAAACCTCCTCTGAACAAATCTTGCCAAGAAACCATGATAGGTTTGCCTTAGGGTTACCATAATTTGGAAATGACTTGGAGGCACATAACAACAACACACCAAGGGACAGAAGAGACTGCCAATTGCATCACAAATATGCTCTACTGATTCCTGAAAAGCTTGGGGTCTGGGAAGACAAACCTTTTCTCTTGATAGAGACAATATCCAATCACATTCCCCTTTGTCCTTGTTGCTGCCATTCCTGCAGACATTATGCCACTGCCACCACCTGTTGTTATTGCTGTGTGCCTTCAAATCATTTCCAATTTATGGTGACCCTAAGGCAAACCTATTATGGGTTTTTCTTGGCAAGATTTGATCAGAGGAGGCTTGCCATTGCCTTGCCATAAGGCTGAGAGCATGTGGCTTGCCCAAGGTCACCCAGCGGGCTTAATGGACAAGCAAGAAATAGAACCCTCAACACTCAAACTACCATGCCATACTGGCTGGTGCAGTTAAACCAGAGTAGTTATGCCAGCACAGAGTAGTTACTTATGCCAGCAGTTAACCAGCATAGTTCTACCAGCAAAAAGGATTGTAGTCTTTTTCTCATGGGAAGATTTTGTAGCAAGCAGGTTTGTTCTTTTAAGTTATTGGCCAAGGTCATATGTCAGGGAAACACAATATATGCTCATGTATTTCCATAGAGTTTAAGGGACTCAATAGGCCATCAAGTTCAACTCCTTGCTCAATTCCAGCTAAAGCAACCCCAGCAGCTAGTTGCCCAGCCTCTTTGTGAAGAGGTCCAGAGAAGTTGAATCTACCACCTCTCCAGAGAATTGGTTCCATTGCTGCACTACTCTTAAGGCCAAGAATTTTCTTCCAATGTTCAATTGAAATCCGTCCTCCTGTAATGTAAAACTATTAAATCTGGTCCTTCCCTTGAGGGCAGTAGAGGACAAGCATGCACCCTCCTTTCTGTGACAGTCCTTGAGGTATTTCAAGAGTTTAGTCATGTTGGGGTCTGCCCTGATGCATACTGGTATCCGTTGCACATTGGGTCATGGTGCATTAGGCAATGTGCCAGTGCACAAAGGATGGCTGTACATCATGGCAGCCCCTGGGTGAATATGGATATTGAGAATTATTCTGTTCAGTTTTGCACACATGTAAGGCCATTTAGTAAGATGTAAGTTTTTTTAATTTTTATTTTATTTCTAATACAGTTTAATTTGATTTTATGGAGGGTAGGTTAGGGATTGAGGGTGAGATGGAATTGTTTTAACTTTGTTCTTTTTTAATCTTGTTCACCGCTCCGATTACCCAGCAGAGGGGCAGGATATATAAAATTATTATTATTATTATTATTATTATTATTATTATTATTATTATTACATCTCAGTATCATTAAAAACATACAAAAGCCATATCCAAAAATTCAGCATTGAAGTAGACTTAAAACTGTTAACCATAGCAAAACAATTTTCAATGCACACTTTAAAAGGATCAAGAAGTTAAATCTTCTTAAGCCCTTTTTTCATCAGTTCTAAAATTGTCTGAATTAAAATATACAGTGATCCCATGGTATCCTCTGGGATGTGGTTCCAAGACCTCCTTTGGATACCAAAATCTGTGGATGCTCAAGTCCCATTAAATACAATATCATAGTAGATAGGTGCCCCTTGGCAAAATCCAGGATTGCTTTTGGGAAATTATGTTTTTAAAAATATTTTCAAGCCATGGATGCTTGAATCTGTGGATAAGGAGGGATGACTGTATTTGCCTGCTGATAGAAGGATTACAAGGAGGGGGCTATTTTGGCCTCCTGAGCAGAAATTTCCAAAATCTAGTGGCAACCACGAAGAAGGACCCGTCTTGTCCTCCCATCAAACATACCTGCGAAGGTGGTGGGGCTTAATGATCTGCTCCTTGCAGAACTTCTATTAGTTGTTCAAAGAAACCTGGATTCCTTGGGCAGGGGAGGAACTTGAAACCATCTACAGCAAATAGGAAAGCCTGGTGTTCTTGAGTACTGATGTTATTCAAGAAAGGTGCGCCTGCTTGTCACCAAGCAAATATCCAAAGCTGTATTCCTGCTGTCTGCTATGTCAGCAGAATCTCTCACTTTGTTTGGAACTTGACATTAAATCAGATGCTCTGGGCAGTGGGGACTCTTGTTTCATGTTCATCTTGCATAATGGAACAAGTGCTATGTCTGCTAAAGAGTTATTGACAGATGCTGAGCATGTTTGCCCTGGCCTCCAAGCCAATTCAAATTGGCTCTGACAACTTAAGAGATTCACTTGGGTCTCGAGGAAAAAAGAGGATGTGGGAAGAACAACACATCTGGGAAATGCCATGATTTTGGCACACTTATGGAAGAATAGAGATGTTTTCTCTGGGGAGCACAAATGTAGCATAAGAGAGGAAAATGACAAGGGGAAATGTTGATGAGGTGCAAACAGGGGACTTATTTCTTAGCAAACTCTTGACAGATTGGGTTCTTGAAGATTAATAATTGGAATCCTTTTGGGGATTTGCATCTTCATAAGTGGACCTATGTCTACCAGAATTAGAGTTGCACAGTTCCATTCCTTGTAGAGGACATGTGTTACATTGCCACCTAGCAGAGGCAGCAAAGTGCCCAATGCATGTTGGTACCAGGTACGTCACATCAGTAATGAGGTTGGCATTTCCTTAATATCTTGCACCAACCAACCCCCCTGCAGCTCTTCCTCAGCCATTCTGTGGATGGTGAAGAGCAGGAGAAGAATCAGAGAAACATCTGGCTATGTTCCTGTTGATAGTTGCGAACTGAGTACATCCTTCACTGAGAGCTTTGGAAGACCTCAGTGAACCTCAGTAGATGATACACCAAAAAACCAAGCAGCAGGCTTACACCAAACTCACAACAGC